AGTGCACGAATCAATTGGAGATAACCGAGGTTGGCTATTGGAGTTGGTTTTTCAAGTTGTACCGATCTCTTCTATCGATAAGAAGGAAGCATAAGAGTTTGTTAAACTTATCATACACACAATCCTTAATATACTAAAGCACAAGTCGCCAATTAAAATCTGCCACATATCATATGTTTTATAATTAAAGAATTAGTTTAAAAAAAAAAAATCAATAGCACGATCAAAAAAATTTCACAAGATCATCTTTTAAAAAAAATTCACGATCAAATCTTCTCGCCAATTACTTCACAAAATAAAATTAAAAAACCAGTTTCCATGCCTCTTATCCACGATCCCCATCTCTCCCTTATCTCTCGGAAAAACGTTTTTCTTTTATGAACTATAAAATCTCAAAAACACAACAATCTAAAGCCCTAACAAACGAAAAGTTAAATGAAAATAGAGCATAAACTATTGATTTCCAAATCCTGTAGAGTTTGTTTTCACCATCGAATTCTCATGAACCCTTGAGTAAAAAGTGGGGATTTTGCTTCTATCCAAATTGGGTGAGTTTTGTATTCTCGAGCTTTTCTCATGTTGGGATCAGTTTCGTCAAGAGGCACAGGGATGATGATTAGACATGGCACGGATATGTGGATCCCGTAGAACCATCCAGATTTGATGCATGCAGCGCAAACAAAGATGTTCCAGTTGTTGTGGTGTTGGATTGTGATCTCAACAAGTACTAGAGGAAACTGCCGTTGAAACTACCATTAACAGAGAAAGTGGAAAGAAGATTATTGAATGTGTGAATGTAAGTTCAACGATTTGCATTCCTAATAAAGTTACATTTTAACCTATGAACTTAATGGTGCTTCTGTTCATGAGTATATCTATTGTTTTTCCTAATAAATTTAGAGACTTATATGTTTTGTATTTCACTATATTATTTCATTCTCCGTTAGAGACATGTTTCTGCATCATAAAAGAATTGCAGCTATCATTAAGTGGGAATGAGAATGAGAGAAGATGTTATACCTTGATTATTTGATGTGTTGTAGCTATAAAGAGACGCTTTGGAAAATCGAGATGAAAGATAAGGAGAATTAAATTGAAGATTTGGAGAAGACAACGAGAACTTTTACAACCGTTAAAAATATTATATATTATGTTATGTGATGAGGAAATGTTGAGTTAATAAAGGATATGTTTTTTTTAACTGATTTTTGTTTTACTCAACATCTTTGTTAAACAAATTATTAGACTTTCTTTTGTTTTAGTTAAATTTGATCCACAGTAATATGTATTCTCATGAAAGCAACAAAAAAAAATGAATTAATGCTTTAACCAAAAAATAAAATAATGAACTTGGACTTTAATAACGAAAAAGTGAAATATCTATAAACTGGTTTTCCGGGTGCAGAGCAACGGGTAACCACTAGTAAACTTATATATAACTAGAGAGAGAGAAAGATTGGAGAGAGCATTTTTGATTCATCTTTGTAATTCATTCTCGTGTAGATCTTCGTGTTAAA